CTGGAACTAGTTTTCCAGAAAATACATAGAAAACTTGAAATTGCTCCAAAGCAAATCGATGCGAGCTATTGATTCCCTATATAAAAACCTCTGTTATTTGCAGGACACCCTCCATTTCAATTCGTATTTGAGCGAGGACTTGAGCTTTGGCGACGCCTTGCCTGCCAATCGTGCGTCAGAAGGGTTAGTGGGCTTCCAGCAGGACCCAGGGTTGTCCAGGCCCTGAACCAATCCAAGGATCGTCAAGATGACGCGACCCAAGCAGGAGGGCGGCAAGTTCAAGGCGTTCATGCAGGAGAATGTCCTCACCATGGCCACCGTCATCGGCGTGTTCGTGGGTGGACTCATCGGCTTCATCATCAAAAACAGCACGGGCGAGTGGTCGAAGAGGGAGATCATGTACATATCCTTCCCCGGCGAGATTTTCTTGCGGTGAGTAGGCAGAAATTGATCCAAAACCTATATGGTCTCAGCCTAAAAGATCGAAGCCAGCCACTAAAGTAATATATGTTTTCAGAATGCTGAAATGTTTGATTGTGCCGCTCCTGGTCTCATCGATCACCAGTGCCATTGGCGGACTCGATCTGAGCATGTCCAGCAAGATTGCAACCAGGTGAGTTGATCTGAGCACAGCATGCACTTAGATGGCCCGGAATTAGATAACTTCGAATGCAAATCCCACCAGGGCCATTACGTACTACTTCGTGACCACCATATCGGCCGTGATTCTGGGCATTTGCCTGGTGACCACACTGCGTCCCGGCCAGGGAGCCAAGATCGTGGAGACCCAGACGGAGAGCATTGACAAGGCGTCCAAGGTGCTCACCCCGGACACGCTTATGGATCTGGTGCGGTATGTGGCCATCTGCCGGTGACTGAACCGCCCTCTGACTCATTGCATCTTTCCCTCCCCCACAGGAACATGTTCACGGACAACATCATACAGTCGACCATGTTCCAGGTAAGACTCTAATCCAAGGCGCATCCAAGTGCGTTCATACGCACTGTTGAGCGGCGAGAGCAACGACAGCAATTATTCAATTCTTTGCGGTTTGGCGGATTTTGATTGAAACAAAGCGCGACACACAATCAAAACTGACATGATAGGGATACCACAATTTCAATTACAATCCGGCTTCGAGCAGGGGGATTTCACTCAAGTGCTTAAATTTCAATTATCACTTGTGCGACTGCGACTGCGAGAGAGGAAAGCGGCCCATCAACGCGGTTTAGGAGGCCCAGGCCCAGACGCAAATTGAATCAAAGTACTTGGCAGATGTGTGGACATTGTACCTCCATAATTATGTGCATGTAGCGCGGATGTTGGTGTAGGTAGGCAGCCGAATGAATATTCATGCGCCCAATTAGATTATTGTTGACTCAATGGGGGGAACTCACAGACGAGCCACGATTTCGCTTGCTTCTAACATTAGAAAGCAGATAACGAAAAAGTCTGATGATAATGATGAGACGAGCTTTTCATGTATCTATGTATTTTTTACCGAACACTGCCTTGGATTGAGAAACCTATTAGATGCGCCACCTGAATTTAAACTGATTAAAAGCCACATTAATGTATATATAATATATTTACACCTGCTCCATTTTAGCACCGCACTGAGATCTATGAGAACACTAGCATTAGCCCAGCACGTAAGTTCCTGCACTCGCATCCCAAACTTAACTTATTCCCACACCCGCCCAACAGAGCCCATGGAAAACTGGGAGTTCAAGTCGGCACAGCGCGAGGGTTCCAATGTCCTGGGTCTCGTGATGTTCAGTGTGATCCTGGGTACCACCATCGGCAGAATGCGGGAGAAGGGACAGCTGCTGCAGGACTTCTTCACCACGTTGAGCGAGGCAATGATGACCATCACCTCATGGGTTATCTGGTAACTCCACATCTATTTACACCACACCAGGAACTTAAAAACCAAACTTTTACTTTTTAGGATTTCCCCGCTTGGCGTTGCCTTCCTGATAGCGGCTAAGATCATTGAGATGGAATCCATAGCCGCGACCATTCAGTCATTGGGATGGTACTTCATAACGGTCATGATAGGTCTCTTCCTCCACGGTTTTGGTAAGCAATACACACCGTCAATGAGCTCACAACGATTCTAATGAAGTCAGGTTTCTGGATGACAAATTCCAGCTATTCAGTTAGTCAGTTAATATGCTGATCACCAACCTACAGCTCACTTTTACAAATGAGGCATACAATTTGCAATCATCAATTTGGTCCAACTCTGCTTTCAGGTACGATTGCGGTGATCTTCTTCCTGGGCACCCGACGTCTCCCGTACCGCTACATCGCCAAGCTCAGCCAGGTCTTGGCCACGGCATTCGGAACAGGCTCCAGCTCGGCCACCATGCCGCTGACCATCAAGTGCCTGGACAACATGGGCATCGATCCGCGGGTCACCCGCTTCGTCATTCCCGTGGGCGCCACCATTAACATGGACGGAACGGCTCTCTACGAGGCGGTGGCTGCTCTGTTCATCGCCCAATACCGTGAGATGAGCTACTCCTTCGGCACCATTGTGGCGGTCAGCATAACGGCCACGGCGGCATCGATTGGAGCTGCTGGAATCCCGCAGGCCGGACTGGTCACCATGGTCATGGTGCTGGATACGGTGGGCCTGGAGCCGAAGGACGTGTCCCTCATCATAGCCGTCGATTGGCTACTGTAAGTCGGAGGCCTCAGATTCGAAAGAGCAGAAAATTATAATAATAATATTATATGCAATTCCAGGGATCGCTTCCGCACCACCATCAATGTGATGTGCGATGCCCTGGGCACCATTTTGGTCAACCATCTGTCGAAGAACGATCTGGCCAGCGTGGATAGGGTAAGTTTGGAGCATGTCCTCCTAAAGTATTCATCAATTCTGATTCATTTCTCAGCTGAATGCCGAGCCCCATGAGCTCCTCGAGCTGGGCCCCAATGGCCACGAGATGAAGGAATGAAGGCAGTCTTCGCTTGGCGCCTATAACCGCAAACGATGAGTGGACATGTCCCGGCTGTGGGCCTGTTTCCACATCCTGCCCAGCAACGACAGCGATAGCGACGACTACGACGACGACGACGAGGAGTTTTAAGGATCGTCGCAGGATCGCATCGAATCCGGGCTGGGACGGAGTCATCACGTTTGTTTGCGAATTATTTTGGGTGACCAAGTCGCATCTAATTTTCAGATGGATCAATTTGAAGCAGCTCCTCCGGCAGAGGATAGATGTCTGCCGGAGTACCAGTACTAAGCCAGCAACGAATTTAAGTGACACATTCGTTAAATAGTTTGTTTTTCCAAAAGAGAAGATCGAAAAGCGAGAACAGCAATAAGATTTAAGTTGAAAACAAAGTAACATTTATCGCCTAAATTAGGGATACTTTCAAGGTGTACATAATTTTTAAATATAATTATATTAAATTGAGTTCAAATTTGCATTACATTCTTTCCTATGATTAGTATTACAATTGATGAGTAAAATTAGTTAAATTCCATGCAAGCAATCCCAACTTTAGGCAATTGCATTTGATTAGGTCGCAAATTGTTGAGATTCGTATCTAGTATTTGTTAAACCATACTCTATAACTTTTGACATAGCAAAGCGAAACAAAATAACGAAAAAAGACAAATATTTAACAGTAGAACACAGATCGATTTACACACTAATAGGTGAAAAGCAAAACCATTCAAATCAAACCAGAATTTCAAATGCCGTTACAAGTTCGTGTTCATAGTTGAGCTTTGTAAATACTTAATAGCTTAAGTATACATACATAAAACTTTATGGAAATATTTATATTTAAAGCGTGGAAACCGAATTCTTGGATGACAATAATAGAGTGCTGCAATCACACATACAGTCAATTTATACGAGTAACAAATTACTTATAAAATATTATTAAACTAACATAAATTAGGTCACATTCTTGCAGAAATCAACCAAATAATGATAAACACAAAGTCAGTAAAACAGATGAAATACTTGAATGTTTGCCATGCTTTCAGCCAAAAAGGAGAATTTTTAGGTTACGAATCACCGAAATGTTTGTAGTTGTGCGTAGTCTAAATATATGTTTACTAATAAATCTTTATGAACATTAACGAACCTTTCCAGCATTTTAACTTAAGCTTATGAAGCTTCAGACTGGGTGCAATTTCAAATGCGATCTATTTGAAGTGCAGTTTTGATATCTTATAGACAAACTTAAACTTGTACTGGCTGATGATAATAAACGATATGTCTGATATTATTTATTATAAAAATTTTAAATGGCTTAAGCAAGTATTGATGGTTCAGAAATTAGTCAGAGCTTTAGCCAGTTTGCAAACCTTCGAACAAAAGCTTTTTGTAGCTGCATTGGATTTTGCACAGATGGCGCCACTGTAAACTCAACGAAACTGAAATAAAAATTATGCTTCGAAAAGGCCGGGTAACAATGTTGATTAGAAACGAAGTATTATGGCTGTCATTAAACATACTATCCTCTAGCTTATAAATTTAAATAGGTTTTGTTTATTTGACTGCTTAAAATGCTGTCCTAAAATAATTTTGAGTTGCCCATACATGCTATTTCAACTAAATTAAATGCTGCTAAGAATGTAACAGTTGACTTCAGTTTGCTGTTTAAAGCCAGCATCCCTTTGATCTACATATTCAGTGTGCCACATGCAAGTACTTCGTTTTCACTGCGAAACCCTTTTCCCAAAGTAACTGCCCCTAAAGAAAGTAAAATAACCATAACCGAAACAAAGCTCTCCAAATATAAAATTGGGGCCATCGAAAGGGGACAGAATCCTTGCCACTAGGGGCAGGATATGCAGGCAGGTTGTCAAAACAAACAAATATAATAAAATAAAACAAGGAGCAAGCGAAGCAAAGTATATTTCGATGATTTCTCAACTTCTTCCTCCTTCAGCTTCACTAGCTTCCTTGTTTGCCAGCGCACAAAGCTTTGAACTATTGTCTTAGAGAAACCCATCAGCCAAGTTGGACCCAGCATACTTGACACGCTTTTGACAGCCCAAAATTCTAGGAACACGGCTCGAATATTTGCATTTAGTTAGATACTCCCAAAATTCCTGGTGAATGCATTGCCCAAACTATGCCCTACAGCAGCAGCTAGGAACTGAGCACCATCGACAGCCATGCTAGTGAATGACGCCAGCAGGGATCGTCCCATCTATCAGGATATCCAGCGGCTATCGGACGCCCAGCTGACCACCTTGTGCAACAGCCACGGGCTCGTCCTGGGTCCCCTCGATTCCCAAAATAGACGCATGGCAGAGCGCCAGCTCCACATAGCCATGATCACGGAGCGGGCCAAGTACCGAGCCCGTCAGCAGTTTGCCCTTGAGTGCCACATGCGGGGCACCGCCTACATGCAGCAAGGTCCGCCGCCGCCGCAGAACCATTACCAGCCCATGCCGCCCCAGACGTACTGGCCATCTCCTGGCAGCAATTTGCGCAGTCCACCGCCGCCCAGCTGGAATACCCAGAATCGCCGGGTGCTTCGGGACCCGGTGCTCCAGCCACGGCAGTACACCACTTGGAGGCAGGAGCACCGGATGAGCGACCAAAGGACTGCGGACTCTGGAAACAACTTCCTGGGCTTCAGGATGCCCTTCTCCCTGGGCGCTGCTAGGGATATCAGGTCGAGGATTACCAACTCCATCAAGCGCTTTCAGGGAGGAGGTGCGCAGAACGGGCCAGTGCACAAAAAAGAGGAGCAGGTCACGCCTAGATGCCAGAATGCTGAGTATCAGGAGGATTATCGGGAGGATTCCGATGACGACAGTGTCGAAAAACCTTCCAGCTCGGACTATGAACGGGATACCTTGTCTGGTGCTTCGGAAGGCGAAGGCCAGGAAGTTGAGCGGCAAGAGCTCAGTGCCCAAAACTTCTATCCGTATCCGTTCAATGACCGGCAACTTCAGGGGCAGTTCGATGGCCAGGAGGCGCAAAATGAGCTGCGCGACTACAAGAGTTTCATTAGCCTATCCAGTGTGTATCACGACTTCGACAGCCAAGTGCCAATGGCACGGACGGCGCCTTCCGTGGACTCCAAGCCCCGCTTCAGCTGGTGGTGGCAGTGGAGGGCGAGGGCGGGCGATGAGCGGATTCCGGAGGCGGAGCGCACCACCGAACAGAATCTGCTGCAGGAGCGGGAGCTGAAGACCATCAACTACCTGAGCGAGGCGCCCGCCCGTCTGGATGATGGTGTGGTGGAGCTGATGGGCAGGGTGGAGCTCCGCGATGACAGCGAGGAGGAGGTGCTGCTGGAAGGCACTCAACGAGCACCGGGATCCCGATCCTGGATGGGCTTCTGCCGGCACATCTTCCACCTGCTCTGCTGCGATCGCCAGGGAAAACTCGACCCGGAAAAGCTGCGCTGCAGCTTCTTCTGCTGCTGCATGGCCGCAGGTGTCTACATGAGCTTCAAAATGCTGCGGTATTGACAGTGGGCAACTTCATAGGCGTTTCTCCATCGGTATTCAGGAAATTATCCATATCTCAGTTGGGAAGAGGATGCATGTTGTATTCATCGCAATCATCTGCTTTTGTTTTCTTATGTTGAGATACGAACTATATTCTTAATACAGTACAGTGCAATAGTCCATAAAAGCCGTGTTCTTCTAAGTCTGCCGGATTTTAATTTTATTCTTTAAGCAATTTTTGCATCCTAGCCACTTATTGTCTTCTATTCGTGGGCAGCTGCCACTCGTTGGAGAACGTGGCCCTTTGCGGCACGTGTTTCCATCTGTAACAAGACGTTTGCTGGCCAAATTCTCACTTTCGAGTTGGTGCGGAAATGAAACTGTAATTATATTCATGGCGCCCGAGAAGGAAGCCCTATAAGATGGAAATTATTAAAGCTTAATGACTTGCTGATCCAAGGTCGGAATCAACTCAGCAGCTTGGCTTTAACCCTTCAAGTCCCAAAGCCAGCTGCAATATCTAGGTTACACAAGCAAATCTAGACAGCAGATCTCTGTGAATACGAGTATTTCTTTTGAATCAAGAGGAGTTTGAAAAAAGGAAATCAATTTAGGATTACTCATGCATCTCCCTTCCAACGCAGAATCCAATTCTGATCAGCCAACTAACCAAGCCGAATCTTATCAAGTGCAATTGGCATGACCGTAAACTCAAGCGAGGAAGAGCCATAAATAAAAGTTTGGCCATAAAACCACAAAGAGACATAAAATGGGCATAACAAATTTAAGCGGCATAAACAATTGGCAACAAAGTGGCCCCCACGCGCTTTCCAATCTCAACTATAGAACATATCGCACGGTTTTTGACTGCAGACTTGCTATAAAACGGGAGACAGGACTCAATTGGCTGACTGGGACACAGGAGCTGAGGCAGTCGGTGGTTTGGGCAGGACTCTCAGTTTGTCTTTATGCCAATTCAATTTACCGGCAAATCGTGAGTCGAGTCTTGGTCCGAACCCCTGGAAATGAACATAAAACGCCAGCGAAATGCGGCCATTTAATTTATGTGCTGGCAGCATTAAATGGCATTTTAATTTCTATGGAAGTCGTAAAAAGTGCTGAAGAGTATTCCTACTCGTGCTCCTTTCATATTTATGTCTATGAATTTATTTTGCACTTTTCCATTTCTCAATTGCGTGCAAAAGATTTTTACATTTAATTCAATTTGCCATCTAATGGATGGGGCGGCGGCCGGTTGTGGGCGAATCCCCGAGGGGATGTCCTTAGCAACTGGGCGTGGCCGTGTCTGTTGTGCAGTCATTGCGTGAAATATGGTCCCGGCTACTTAGCAGTCTCATCTTCAGCTCCAGCTCCTCCACCTCCTCCTGCCCTGCTCCAGTTCCAAAACTGAAATCCGGTGGACGCCCGGGCCAAATTACCGTTACAAATTTGCGCTACTTTGATGGCAGCCACCTCATTCCCAGTTCTGATCCCGAGCAGTCGAGCAGTCGAGGATTCGGCATGCCCGGCAATGTCATACAAAATTTATTCGCCCTACGTGCCTTGGCCGCAAATCTTCGCTGCGTCCAGAGGGTCAAGCAATTTTGACCGGGCTAGTTTGGGTCACTCCTCGTGGAAGCTGCTAATGGTTTTTGGATGAAAAGGGGAACGTCCAACTCATGGTTCGTTGGGTGCGTTCTGGGCCAACTTCCAGGGTGCTACTTTGAACTAAAACAAGGTACTATATGGTTCATCTCGGTATTGCTTTTAATATGCTAAAACCAGCATAGAATAATGTATCTTGGCCAACTAACTTAGTATGCATAGTAGCCGAAAACTGCTTGTAACCTTTAACGTTTTTATGAATTGTAGATACAATTTCCTAGCTTCAGCGAAGAAATTTAGATAATTCTCAAATATGTATTCCAAGCGTATTTCATGTTGTTTTGAACTGCTGCAGTGTGTACATATGCAAATGCTAGCCCCAACTTTTGCTGAGAAAAATTTAAGCTGCCACACATTTGCAGCCATTTTGAAAGCTACTTAACCAGAAAAAGTTACCCGCATCTTTGGCCTAATGAACGAAACTCCAAGTAAGCAAAACTAAAAGCGCGACTGCCGGAGGATGTTGCAAATGGATGGGTTCCAGGACTGGAGGTTTTGGTAGCCCCTTGGGGGAAAATGCAATTTTGTAATTGACTCACAATCAGTCGGGCGGAAGTTGTTTAGCTATGCAATATGGCTGCCAAATGCGACAAACGGATGCAATTTGTGAAATATGCAAGAAATAAGACGATAAAGCGATGCTGGAGAGGTGGGGAATGCACAAGTCTCGCCCATTGGAACCCTGCTCCACCAGAGATTGAAATGTCAATCCGTTTATGGGAGTGGGGCATGTTCCTGCTCCTGTCTATCCGCACGAGTGGAACATGTTTGTCAGCTAGTTTTCGAAGCGATTTTTTGATACCAACTGCTACTGGGGAGCGCGGGTATATGCTTTCTACGGTGATGGACTTGAAACAATATTGAAATAATGTCAAGGTGGCTCATAAAGTAAACAGTCAATCTATCTTAAAGATATATTCAGACTCTGAAGATAACATATATTTTCAATATGGATTTCACACCTGAGCTCCATTGCAACATATGAGGGAGTTCATACCACCCTTTGTGCCGCGTATGAGGCGCAACTAATAGGTACCAAGCCAGTTGCAATTAACGCAACGTCCTGCTCTTTTTACGGCTTGCATGAGTGCCACAGAATGTTGCCAAAATGTCCGTTCGTCGCCCACATGTCTGAGCTGAATGCCGCTGACAGATGTTCCACCTTTGGCCAGGAAACGGGCTGCGCAGACAAACTGTTTGGGTTCGCCGGCAACCTGGAGGTGGACGTAATAGTTTTTATGTGCGGTTTTCGGTTGAGTTTCTGCCTCTGCCCTGCCATAAACGAACAATTTGTGTAATGCATTCGGTGAATAATGAGGTGGGCAGGAACTATTTTGGCTCAGAGGCGACAGATTTTTTGGTTCACGTGCGGGTTGGAAGTCGTTCTATGCAGATCCATTTTTTATGCTCGTTTTCCGTAAGTTCGGAAAAAGTTTCCATATGAAATGTTTACGTGTCGATATTTGCGGAAGGAATGCAATTTCGGGTAGCACATGTGATTTGAAATTGGACTTTTATATATTTATACATGCCTTTGACGCCACACAGCCATGTGCGAAACTTGGTTTACATCTCAGATTTATGGAATATTACATTTCCAAAAACTGCGAATATCAATATCTATATTAGATGTATTAACGTAGTTTCTCATACTTATAAGAACAAAGCAAATGAATGACAGCATGGTAAAATTTTATCATTCAGCTTTTAAGACCTCGCTTTATTGAAGCCAAAAAAAGTTTGTACAAAATGAGCTAAATTAGTGCCTCAATCTGAGCGCAATTATTTCTATACAGCCCCATTTTCAGCAGCCAATCAAGTTAAGCAAATGCTCACTTAACCAACTGGATGCAAACAAATCAAATAACATTTCTTACAGACTTCTCCCAATTAATAAGAATACGGTCTCACAGAGAACGACTGTGGTAATACCCTTAAGCAAATGATTATATAGCACTTAAAACTTTAAGCATTGTTTTTATGTTTGTTTCCAATTGCAGATGGCAATTAACCACGCGTAGACTGAGTATTTTTTCTCCCCAACAAATAGTGAACCAAAATCAAACTACCTGAACAATCAAGGGAATTAAATGAATTGCTTAACCCGTCTACAAGGGCCCGCAGGAACAAATGTTTCTGTTTCTTATTTTTTGATGCAAATGTCAACAATTAATTTGGAGGCAAAATATGCGCAGTCTCACAGAAAAGTAAACAAGCGTCAAGACGCAGAGGGCCAGGCCAAAAGTGTAAGGAGGAAAATGGCAAAGGAAAAGTAAACAACATTCCCCCTGTTGGCTGGCAAAATGTAGGAGCAATCCTGGCAATTAAAGTTGAGACTGCAGAGGCGGATCCAGAAGCAGATGAGCAGGTGGCTGAGTCCAAGGCCTCCATTCTGGAGGAGCAGGTGGCATAATGAAGTCGATTGGAAGTTGAGTTCACTTGAGCTGGAATAATTTGTTTCAATGCTAATGTTGACGCCCGCGGCGCTTGCAAAGTAGGTGGAAAATGAACGAGAGCATTATCGTCCCTCATAATAAATATGAAATTAAAATACCCTAGTTCCTGGCACACATGGCGTACACTTGATGTTTAAGAGGAACTTAAAAATTAGGAAAATAATTAAGTGTCCTCCAGACCTTTTCATATCAAGGGTTCGAACAATGATTGAAGGCTCAGGTTTGGGGAAGAATATTTCATCGGGGGACTCTTCACTTCGCAACTTGAAACTTTGATCGAGGCCCAAATAATCCAACCGCATCATTGGCCATCATGTCCGGTCATCGGCGTTGGCCGCTCCATTCGACAAGCTACTTTAATGGCAGCCGTTTTCAGCTCGCTTTTATTTACATGTCCCGTGGAGCATCCAAACATGGCCTCGACTGCTCCAGGATCTGTCAGATGTATTTGATTGATTTGTTGGGCAATTTGCCGCCGCCTGTTGTTCCTCGAAGTTTGCACAAAGTTGTGTGCGCCAGTGGCTCCGCTCCCAGTCCACTGGAATCACTTTTCTGCCACATTCATGCATGATTTATGTTTGAACATATAAAGCTGCCATCGACGTAGTTTGCGGAATGAGTTTGGGACACAGGCTGCGGCTGCAATCCAGACCCGGCTCTTCCATTAAGAGCTCCTTTGAAGTGGGTGCCTGGCCAAAAGTGTCTGTCGCGGATCTAGGGTTAAATCAATCAATGACTTAATGGCTTACTGTGAATATATTCTCACATGTTCTTCGACCTTTCCCCATTTCCCCACGGCCCGTCCATCAAGCGTCAGTCTCTGCGATAATTGGATTTACAAATTACTCAGGAATTGATTAGGAAGGTCATAATCCAAGCCAATCGAATTAGTTGTTGTGACGATTCTGATTTGACAGGCTCGTTCGATTTTAAACGAAGTTACAGCATGAAATTCGAATTTTCCGGAAATATTACAGGAGCATTTCTAAAAGCTTTCCAAATCAGAACTGAGGCCATCTGACCAGAAACATGAAGCTGCTGTCACTGTCATTTGCTATCTTTTGTGCCTTACAAATTCAAAGTGCCGTTGGCTATAACCCTGGTGCAATAAATGAATCAACTAATTAATTTTTGATCTCTTAAATTATTATCTATTATTTTTAGCTAAGTGTAATGACCCCAGAAGTAATGGTGGGGCTTGTCGAAAGCCGCCCGAGGACAAATGGACCTTTGACAAGACTCACCGAAAATGTGTGGAAATAGATTTCTTCGGATGCCCAGATACGCGGAACATATTCAATTCTAAAAGCGAGTGCGAAAATACCTGTTAATATGATGTAAGCCCCCAGTTCCAAGGTGGAGGAATGGCAATTGATTGCATGTAATTATGTCTGTGCCACGAGTCGTATGCGTAATAAGAGTATTAATTAATTCAGACAAGCTTCCCATGTTTCTGTTGTTTATGGCAGACAGTTGAGTCAACACAGCCCAGCTAATTGATGGCAGGCGACGTTTTCCTCTGACCCGACTGCCCATTTCCCTGGAAACCGTGGTTGTACTTTTCCAACTTTGCCTATGTGTGGACAAACAAAGTGTGGGCCACCGAGCACTGATTGATTGAGTTTCTGTTTCTGTGGCACGAAGGCGTCCAGTTAATGGATCAATGGCTTTCTGTTTAGCTGGTTTAGTTTGCTGCCATGCTCGTGTACATTTAACATCGCCCTCACTCCTTTCATTCCTGTTGTAATAAAGGCAATCCGGTGAGTAGAAAACAAATTGTTTGCCTAGATTGCCTAGTGCAGTTCTATTTGTCCTTTATGAGTTTACTGAGAACGCCAGCCAAGTGACTAAACTTTATTAAGTTCTGTTTTGTGGCAAGCCTTCATTTTTCTTTCCAGCAGGCCATGATCTATGAGTTCTTCCATTTGAAAACTCACTCAACTACACAATCCAGTTCGCTAAACACCCAACACACTTTAGTTCATAGAATATCTGGTTTCTCAAAGAACTGCGTCAAAGATGCTCATTCCAGAGGTGGACATGTGGAATGTGTCCAAGAGCAGCAGGATACACCGCCTTTCCATCTTCAACTGCGATAAGCCCGGGCTGAAAGTGCTGGACTACTCCGCAGTGCGCGGAGTTGACAAGTTCTACTTGGACTGCCAGGACTACAGGGACTACTTCAGAGACCCCTATAACCGAGTCCACAAGCCGAGGCGGTTCACGGCCTATGCGGGCAGGTGCGCTGTAAAGCTGGACTCCGAAGTTGAGCTCCTTTCTATGCCGACCTCGTGGCGCACTGACCGCCAGCCCATCGTCTATCCGATCGACTACCACTCAGATATGGCACTTGGTAGGCGGGACTGCGATCACATCAAGGCCTTCTGCTCCCCGGCCGAGAGCCTCAGCTTCAAGCGGTCCTGAGACTCCATTGCTGTTACCATTTTGGCAGCTTAAATACAGCTTGAAGCACTGCAAACTGCGGTTTTCTCGTTATATTTTGCAAATGCTGACATTGGAGCGCTGTCTGTTCCGTCAATGGGTTCCCGGATCCGAATCTGTTGTTTGGCGTCAGTTGGGATGCACTTTTCACCCGCTTGCTGGCGTGCAAATTGCTAATGAATTTAATTCCCCTGCACACACGCTCGCAGACAAAGCTGTCAGAAACGGGAAACGGATGGGGAAAAGCGGAAAAAGGAAAAGGAAACAAGGCGACAGCACGGCAACTGCCAACATGTGATGCAGGCGACAAGTGAACTTTGCCTGTTGTCGGAAAATCTAATAACCGACAGCGAGCAAACACACAATAACGCCGAGTTTTCCGGCTACTGTACTAGTCGCTGTACTAGCTGTGTATTGCCGGGTTTTAATTTGTGTCAGGACCTGCATATTAAGTGGGGCCGGCCACAACGGTATCGAAGGATGCCAGCCGCATTCTGATTGAATTTCGCAGGCGGATCGGGGCGTGGCAGCTCCAGTTGATACGACACATCCCGACGGCTGATTAAGCATACGCCATGTGTGCCGCACACCAAAGTACACACTGCATTTCGGGGTGCCAAATTTGAAGCCTATTATCACTGGCCCCGTTGCAGTGGTCGAACAAAAAACGAAATAATGTTTTGTTGGGCAACTCAATTTTCATCAGCCGTTCATTTGCATCAGTATGCATCAGTAACGGGCTTACCGAAAATTGTTGAAAACTCTATTTCAACTTTGCAGACAAATCATATTCTCGGCTCAAACGGGCAACAGTAGAAACTTTTATTTTGTGGAACACAATAGACGGTAGCCCGCAGAGGCCATCAATTGTTTCTATCTACTCCCCTTTGCAGTCCGACTGCTTCCCGAACATATTTTTCGATTTAGTACATCCTCCAAAAATGAAGAGCTCGCATTTTTGTGCCTCCTTCAAGAAGCGCCACATATTATGCAATGCCTTTAATGGGTTTATCACACAACTGAGGGAATTAAACGCAAGTCAACTTAACCGCATTGTAGGCCAAGTAAAATGATGCACGCACAATGAAATTTCATTTTGGGATCCATACATATCAGCTCCTGATTATTTTTGAAGGGCAGATTTTATTATTTTCTCTATCTACTTAACCTGTTGCCTACGACCATACACAGCGATTCCGCAATCCGCTTTCGAAGTGAAATCGCATGGATATTACCCTGGAAAACCTGCCCTGTTTGGGTACCAAAATAATAAGTTTTATATTTTTAGTATACAGTTTAGGCTTGGTATATTGTTTACCCGATGAGGTAGCTCTCCATATGAAGCCATATTCCATATTTCTTATTATTGTGCCTAAAGTACACAGGTCGACTGCTCCTAAATCGCAACCGAGGGGATTTGTTAAGCCTGCCGATGGGCTGGCATTGAATTTCAATTCAGGTACTCAGACCCAATAAAACGGGTAAGGAATGTCGGGTGGAGTTATTTATATGGGGATGTAGTCGAGTTCCACGTTCTGCCAATAAGCCATTGATACGTTAATGTATGTCCTGTACCTGTATGTGTGTGTCAGTGCCAGTGCCAGTGTGTTTGTGCCAGCTTAAGTTGGCTTTTTCAAGGATTTGTAGTAGCGAACGCTGCGCCATGTTTATTTCCCGCCAAGGACAGCTGGATTGCATTTATGAGGGCATTACGTATACGCACCGCTGGCAGCGAGCGATTTTTTCAGATTTTATGGCAGCAAGCAACCAAAAACATTTATAATTTCATTTGCACCTAACGAGTTAATCCGGGAAGGATAATAAATTCACAACTTGAAAAAATGAATGTTCATATAAGCAGCTTTAAAGAACCCTTCCAGTTCCCTTTCTCATTCGACTCATAAATTATACAAATATAAGTGCACGCAAACTCTAACCGCAAACGAGTATTGTTTTGCCTTTTGTGACCCATGGAGGCTTATCGAGCTCAGACCCCCATAAATGGAGGATCCCCCACAAGTGCATGCAGTTCATTAACTAGACAAAGCAGGACACACATAAACGCCTTCTAAATACAAATCTATTGACAATGTAATTAATGCAAGCCAGAAACAATTCGGGTCCGAGTGCAAACATCAGCAACAGGAGCAGCATCTATGAACTGTCAATACAACGGCAGTGTGTATGTGTCCTGTTCGTCCTGTTGTCTCAATGCAAACACAGAAAACGTGACACGTACTCGTCGCAATTTCTGCTAGCTTTTCAAGCGCCATGTTTATTAGAAACCCGAAAACGTAATGCAAATAGCAAGCAAACAAATATTTATATACGACATTTTAGACAATGGTGCGGCACAGCTGCGAAAATCCGGGTCCTCTCATTTTTTGCCCCGATTTTAGCCCGATTTTAGCCCGAATTCAGCCCAAGCTAATCCCCCAGAGAGGTGTCACCAGTTGGATCAATCAAATCAGGCAATGAGCCATATGGAGCACAGTCACCCACAAAAGTGTGGCCCCAGCAAACGCATCTGTGCGGCATCGGATTTCAGTAAAACTGTCAGAGTAGAATCCACATGAAAAAGGACCATTGTTCCATGTGGTGACAGCATCCTGTGTGGTGTCTCTGTGTGCATAATGAGCAAAACCCAATCCGCATGCAAATGTGATTAATTACAGGTGGGGGTGGGGTTGGGGGCAATGCGGCTGAACGAATGCGATATGCGATATGATATTGACACTCTAAATCGATATTTAGATGTAAATATTGGCAAGGCCCTGCCACAACGCAAACAAGTAGCGACAGCATCAACTTTGCGAATGGGAGGAACAGCCTTGTACATTTGTGTTTTGCCAGGCGAAATCAAAAGACAAAATTGGTTCAGCAACCGCGCTGGAAACTTCTTCAACTTTTGCCGCAGGATGAAAAGCGGCAACAACCACAACAAGGAGCAGCATTAACGGCAGCCAAGTGAAATGACAACAGCAATCGGCGCTCATAAAGTTCAGAAAGTTATGTTGTTATATTATACTGATATCGGTTGTTGGTTAAAACCCAGAACCAACAACCAACCACCCACCACCCAGCATCTCGACCATCTTCATTCATAGCAAAAAGTTTCATGTTTCGTTTCGAGAATTGATGTTGAAGACTCTCGGCCGCAGGCGAAGGACATCGACTGCGGTTTTTAAAGTCAAAGCCAGCGACAGCGCAAATGTCCTCCAAGTTTTCAATGGAAATGGGATAGGAATCGATGGGGCTGGCGGAAAAAGCTGGTTTCGCAGGTGTCTCCATTGTTAAGTAATGTCATTACCGCCTCCGAAATGATTGAGGATGAAAGCTAGCAAAGCTGAGTAAAGTACATACAGTGCATTATGTTAGCCAACAGTTGTTCTCAAAGATAAACTTTATTATGCATTGGGTTGTCGTAGGAGGTCATACCCGTGTATTTCTGTATAATTTAAGGAATTATTTTGCATTTATAAATCGTTGTGCGCACTTTTAACCGGAATACGGGCATATCAAATGCCCAAGTGCTAATGAAAATACGAATGGCCTGGATATTGCTGTGCCCGTTCAGTTTCCATTAACCACAACCGACTACCGGGGCTTGGACCATAAATATTTCACATATCGTTGCTGTTCGCAACCAATTAGATTCCCGCACTGCAAATGGCGAGACAAGTGAAATGGGTGAAATACCGAGGGCGGATACGGAAAACAGAACCCAACTCAGTCCGGGAAAATCATTTTCAATTTCATTTATGAAAGCAAATAAATTTTCAATTGGTTTCATTCGGCCACATTCAACCCGCTCAGCCGCCCACTCAGCTTTCACTTTCTCTTTTTGGCCTGTTAAACAAATACATAGAAATTCCGAAAGGCCAAGTGCAGACAAAATCAACTTCTTATAAAGCTGCTTTCGCCGAGGGAATCCTTTTTACGTTTTCCATGCCCCCCTCGCCCATCGGCCAATAAAAGCCTGCTCAATGCCCAGGCCACGTAAAGGACGTAAAATGGGGCGTGGCCGAGGTGTTTACCTTGCCGCCCACTTTCGTCCTGCCAGAGACATTTAATAAGCAGTTGTTGAAACTCCCGCCAGGAACTTCGAAGCTGCTCTTGTGGTCTTTAAATATTTCACAACTCAATGGCCTCTTGTAGCCGAAAACTTTGCTTTAAGTCCAGAGTTTGTTTGACGGGCTTAAATACAGGCTTAAAGTGTTCTTGCTTTGGTCGAAAGATGCAACAAGCTTTACATTTGTCGTCTTCTTTTTCTGTTTAGATGCCAGTGTAAAGCAAATAGAGCGAGTTTAATTTTGGTAATTTTCTGTTGAATAACAAGTTTATTTTTTTAATACATACGTATAAATAGAATAATTTTTTGCATACCATAAATTCATAAAGCAAAAATTGAGTTGTATGCACCATTGCCTGGCAGAAAGAAATTAATGGAGAAATGGAAATTAATAGGAAAGTACGAATAGCTTCACGTTATGAAGATAATGAAGATAAATCGATAAGAAGGGGTATCTTAAGGCAGTATATCATCGATGTATCTTTGCGGAAGTGTGTGCTGAATCTGAAATTAGTTGTTCTCTGAGGCGAAATTATGCCATCCCACCAGTTATCTGCCCGCCCCGAGTTTGTCGACAATTCGATTTTATCCTGTGAAGTGCTTGGCTCAATCTCTTTTGTCCGCTCCTTGGCGATTGATGTGCGCCGGCCTTCAGTAAAAAAAAAATAAAAATATATTTCATTTTGCATTAACTTGGCGGAGAGCAGAAGACAAAGAGCCAACGGAAGGAGCCTTGAATATCGAAGCCGGACTCGAGACTCCTTCAGGTTAAATATGGCAAAAAGAATGTGTGCACAAATTGGCTGTCCAATTGCGTTTTGTCCGCTTTGTTCATACATAATTAGATTTCCGTTTCTCGAACTCTAAACAATTTCCCCATTTTCGCAACTTTCCCATTTCTGCCCCAGGCAGTTCCTATTTAATTGGCTGTCTAATACTTGGATGGTTTCCCATTCTGTCCGCTG